TAATAATAATAATAATAATAATAATAATAATAATAATAATAATAATAGTAGTAGTAGTAGTAGTACATTTGCCTATCAGGTTGTTGGGAAGGACTTAACAAATGGATAAAACTTCTGAACATCTGGCTGATTGTGCAACAGATCATTAAAAAGTCAAAGCAAAATTTTTATGGAGAAAGAAAGTTGGAACATTTCAAAAAATGTAGAATGAATTCAACTTTGGATCACAGGTTAAAGAGTCAATGCCATGGAAGAGGCAATAAATGTATTCCCTCACCTGGAGGGAATGAGACACTAGAAGTGAATTTCTCACCTTGCCTACATTTGGGAGCTGTTAGCTTGTAATTGCCGCAACACTATCTCAGAAGCTGGGGCCTCTCTGACTATACACAGCCAATATATTGAAGGAAATTTCCCCCAAAAGAGTGAGAGAGAGAACACATCGAAAGAGTAGGTAGCTGGTGGAGAAACTAATGCTGAGCTCAACCCCTAGCTGTTGCAAATATTACTTTTGCACTTTCACTTGCTCATGTTAAAAGTAAAGCTTATTATACATCGGGGTTTTGTACTTGAGAGTCTCCAAATGTCTAGTGAACTAGTGTCTCCTGCAACCGAAGCCACTGTGGTCAAGAATGAAGGATGCCCAGAATTATGATTCAACATCTAGGGAACAGGATCTCCCAAACTTCACTGAATATTCTGCAGCAATTTAACTCTAGGTATAATTATACTTTATTACTGAAAAATATTACTATTTTGCTTCTAAAAGTTTTGAAAGGCCCACTAAAGCAAAACACATGCAACCATGCAACTTTTTCTCATTTCCAAAAAGGGCCTCTACCTGCAGGAGCCTTACCTTGATTTCTTTAATATTCGGATTCCAGTCTCCCATCTGCTCCATCTTTTCCACTAACTCATCATAGACACAATCCAGGGGTTGATCAACCACTACCTCAAGCTGGAAAACCTTCCCCACATCAGGCAACACTTTGCTCAAGACTTTGTCACCATTGCCCTGTAGAAATAAGACAGTTGATTTAACTGGAAGGTATTAATGGGATACATAGGCACTCTGAGACAGCCCCAGCTGCACAACTGTTGTGTTGTACACAGGGCCATCCTTGAAGCCCCAAGTTCATCTAGCTGAGCTAAGAGGCCTGGATTAAATTGTACTTAAATGAGTGGATTTCTGTTGTGGCTCATAATGCTACAACCAGCCATTTCTTATTGCCTTTCAACTGTTTCTACTTTGTAGCAACCTGAATTTTGTCACTATGTCGTAATAGATAGTCTGCTCTTGTAAAACTGTTAAGCGTACCATCACTGCCTCCGTTTTCCAGCCATCTTTTTCTCCAAGAATATTCAGAGACTTCTGGATAGCCTCCTCTCCTTGCTTGATGTAGGACATCTCCATATCACTGAAAGGGTTCTCTTCCAGCCTTGAACCTGCACAATTGAATTAGATTTAAGAAATAGAAATCAAAGAAACTACAATCTTCTGTCATCACCACCAGCACACTCAAACAGGGAGGTCCTTTCTGGGAAGAAAAATCACATCCTACTTGCCTAGAAGAGAACTCCTTCTGTGTACGTTGTTGATCCACTGGGTAGGGCCAGGCCTGGAAAATGCAACTTTCTTCAGTTCCTGGACAATAGCTACAGCTGCTTGTCTTTTCAAACCTAAGAGGAAGAAGTCCCAACATTATTGGGGGTGGAAAGAAAAGGAATTCTTACACTGATTGCTTCTTCACCCTCTATGAGATTATGAACAATGTCTTAGTATCCTGTAAATGTGTTGAGACTACAACACCTACCATCCTCAGCCAGCACAGTTTCTGAGTGGGCAATGTGTGCTGTTGGTTGCACATCTGTAGAGGGAAGCCATGAAAAGCTTTGATTCTGAATTTTCCAGAATTTTGGAGAAATGAATCCTGCACTGAAGAACAGAAGTTTCTGTGCCTCCAGATGCAGAAAATCCTCATTCTTCCTGCTGCACTTTAAAATAACTGCACATTTATTTGGATAAAAGTGCATCCATAATTTGGTATTCTTCTGCTTTTTTATTTTTAAATAATAATTCAGTGTAAGGAGAAGTCCATACAGTTTTTCTGTCTTCTGTGTTTGCACAATTGGCTTAAATTGATTATTAAATTAATCTTTGGCCTGGTGGGATTGTTGTTCAATACACAACCAAACAAGCTAAATTCCAAAATGTGCCATAGCAGACCATAATTCCACTTCTGATTTTGATAATATATAGCAGAGTACTTAAGGTAAGGTTAATACAGAAAAGAAAATTAATGCACTATGGTTAAAAAGAGGCATGTGAGTTACTGAAAAAGGCAAGGCAGAGCATGGTTCAGATAAAACAACCTCCTTGCTTAAGTTTAGCAGATCTGAGTCTGGTCAGTGCCCAGATGGGAGTCTGCTTGCAAACCCCATTTTTTCCATCTTGAGATCCAAGATGAATGAAAAGTAGAATATAAACATTCCGGATGAATATTTCAACTAATATAATTGCCTTAAGTACAGTAATTCTCAGTCCTGCTTTTGAGCCATTGTTTGGTTCCTAATAATTCTTATGTGCCATATTTGACCAATTGTAGGGAAAGAAGGAAGGCATTTTTCTAAAATGCAAATCAATGGTAATTACAAAACTAGCTAGAGCCTTAGGAGGAGAGAGAGTTGGTTTATCACTGTCCTCAATGGTTCCACAATATTTTTCCTTCCAAGCTGCTGATAACCTCAGAAGGAGAGACTACTTCTGGCACTACAATCAACATAAGAACTGGTACCCCTCAACACATGACTTTGGAAAAGCCATACGATACTAACCACTAAATCTGCTGATAGTGAAAGCAGAGCTGGTCTAACAGTGGTTATTGTAAGGGTGGAGAAAAAAGAAATAAATAAAACACTTAACTGCCAATGCACAAATCTTAGGCTCTCAATAGGCAGGAAGAGTTTGCCCTCACCAACATCATGCAAGGCAGAAAGCAATAGCTGACATGTTTCTCCACTAGAAAAACTGTTTCTGAATAGTACAGAAACACTATTCTCATGTGCATCTGAGGGGCTATTGTAGGTAAGGGTGCTGACTTAGTGGCATATGATCTGAATTTGCAAAACATTTTTCTGTTGCTCAATTTACATGTAGCCGTTTTGCATTTCATCTGGTGTCCAAAACATAACACTTGGGCCATGATAAATTGGCAGTGAGAAGAATGCAAGCAGTACCTTCAAAGGAAAGGTGTATTCCCTATCACTGTCATTCTCCTTTATTCTCTCTATTTGCACTCCACTCCTCCACTCCAACTGGATCCTAACAATCTCCCAAGCTAATTTGAAAAGGGAAATAACTTTATGATGTGCATATAGCATGGTTCTGCCTTTATTGTACCTATGCTGCTTCATAAAACAAAGCACAAAGGTAATCCCAGGAACTAACAGATTATGTCAGAAAATCTTTGCAGGCTACAGGGACCCATCCTGCCTATCTGGAAAAAAATTAACCTTCCATCAATCTTCCACCTTCAAATTGTATCTGTTACTGTTCATGAACACCTATTGATTTGGTTTGATCCATATTGATTTCCAAAGCAAAAAAAAGAACATAGGTGCTTCATTATGGCTCAGGGAGAAAGCATTAGTTTTGGCTGCAGAAAGGATCAGGATCAACTTTCTCAGCCTATCCTGTCTTCCAAAGAGCTAAACACAGATGGCCAGCCTGAACCATTCAAAAGATTTGTCCTGAGTTCAGCTACCAACCCTCAAAATATAGTCTCCAGTTTTCTCTTGCTGTTCAAGCATTGTTATTCATCCTTACCTGTCATGTTGGGCAAGTGTCGGTAGGAAATTCCGGCACAAAGCTTGAATGTTGCTGGCAGCATCGCAAGAGTCTTTTAAGTCTCAAAGGATTCCCGTTGATATCCTCTTGTCTTTGAGCTCCGGGAGCTATTGTTGTCACTGGAGGCTCTGCTGGTCTCTGCCCTTAAATACAGCTGATGAAGGGTGCTGTTTTGTCAGCTGGGAGATAAGGAAAGACATCACTTACAGCAAGCTGGCCGATGCCAAGGCCATTCTCGTCCTCTCTGGAGTTAGGGGGAGGGGGTGGTAGGGACAAGTAGGAGGCATTGAAATTGCAAGGGAAGCTCCACCCAAGGGCAGGCTGCACAATCCCCGAAGGGTTTAAGCCAGTTTATCTCCTTTTGAGTTTGCCAGATGTTCTCCAGGCAGAGTCTCTGTGCTTCGAATCAGTCCTACCAACCAAAGCTTTTCTCTCTATCCTTTTCAGCAAAAATCCACTTTGGATGCTCCTGTTAAGGCATAACTGGTTGAGAAAGGGAGTATAGTAATTGGTAACTAATTCAGGACCAGAGTATAGAGAGGCAATGAATTAAATTCCTGCGCTAGACGCAGTTCACTATCAGTCCAGTTATAATTCAGATTGGGTAAATTGCAAGGTTCCTGCCATGGGAATATTATGATTCTGTTATTCCATGCATCAATATGCTTCCATTATATAAAAACAGCGTGCCCCAAGTTTATAAAGTGATCCAGGAAAAATAAAGCATAGTCAGGAAAACAAGTATAACCGTGATGAAAAATAATGTGATAATAATGGAGAGACACATCAAAGAGTTAGCTGGACTTTGAAGATCATTGCGTTCCATTCCTTACTCTATGCAAGATTTGCAGAAAAAAATAAAAAGGAACCAAACAGAGATCATTAATGATTAAAAAGCAGGAATGAAAACTCTGAGAACACGCTGAAATTGAACAGCCCTAAGTATTTAGAGGCCTTTATCTGAAACCAATGTATAAATGCCTCAAATCTTTATCATTATTTATAAAATAGAAGCACACCCAGAATACAATCGTGATACAATAGAGAATGATTCTGTGCCATCCCTCAAATATTTGGAATGTTTTTAATTAGTTTCTCTTAGTCATTAGATGTGGCTTTCAGGAGAAAATCAGTGTTGTTCAAAGACCTTTCCATGATATAATTTTAAAAGGGCAGCCTTCTTAAAAAATAACATAACATCCTTAGTGGGATGAAAAATTTTCTTGTGTTTATTATAATGCACTCCCTGATTTACTCTGTATCCTCTGCTATAATAATCATATGCTCATATAATAAGAGAAACAGGAATGATTAAGCTAAGGTCCTTCACTTTTACTGTTCTATTACTCTGCCACAGAAGAGGGCAGTTCCTATTAGAAGAAGATACAAAATGCTAAGGAAACTTAGACCTGATTAAAATCTCAGATCAAAAGAAAAAAAAAAAGATTCCGGAAGAAGTCAGTCAGTTAACTACAACCAGTTTTATGACATCATCAGGAATTGAACTCAATATTAAAATAATCAAATAAACTCGTGGTTTCATCAGCTTTCAATCTTAGGGAGAAGACAAAGCAAATCATTTCTGCAAATGTATGTGGAGATTCTCAGTCATCCAAGTCACGGTTGTCCCAAAGATGCTTTTTTCAAAAGGCAACTAGACTTTGTTTTTCCTTGAGGACATTTTGCTTCTCATCCAAGAAGCTTCAACTGAAGAAGCTTCTTGGATGAGAAGCGAAACATCTCCAAAGAAAAACAAAGTCCAATTGCCTTTTGAAAAAGCACTTGGGACATTTCTATAAATGTCGACAAGAAAACGGCATGGTCTTTTTGTCCACGTCAAGACTGACTCAAGTCTTTAAGGAGTCAAGATGGTCTCAAAGGCACAACTATTTTAATCCTCTAATCCTCTAATCTTCAGATTAAAAAAAATATTGTATAAAATTCTGTTTGTCAATGGAGGTTAGGATGTCAGCCATTGTTCTTTTAGAAATTAAAGATGTAATTCAATTCACTTTTTATCCTTACAACAGCCAGAACTCCAGGTAGTTCTCAACTTATGACCACAATCAAGTCCAAACTTTCTGTTGGTAAGCAAGACAGTTAAGTGAGTTTTGCCCATTTACAACCTTTCTGGGCCACTGTTGTTAAGTGAATCTCTGCAGTTAAGTCAGGAACACAGTTGTTAAGTAAATCTGACTTCCCCATTGGCTTCTTTGTCAGAATATCGTAAAAAGTGATCACATGACACCCGGACACTGTAACCTTCACAGACACTGAGTCAGTTGCTAAGGGTCTGAATTTTGATCACATGACCATGGGGATACTGCAATAGTCATAAGTGCGCAAGAGGATCATAAGTCAAAAGATCAACTAAATGAACTGTTGTAAATTGAGGACTACCTTTATTGTTTTGAAGTCAACTTCCAAATCAGCATTAGAGTAGAATTGATTTTTTTTTAATAGAAACATTTAAAAACAGTGAACATGGTATAATCATCTTGACACACCTAATTGTCTTACATAGCTATTTCATATGGTAAATAATACATATTTACATAATATGTACATCAATATCAACAATTCTTAATTAATCCTAGTCTGTCATTTTAACATCCTTATCTTATTTTAATTTACATTTTGAATCCTTCCTTTTTCCCAATCAGTGGTAAAACTTTTCCCATACTTTATAGTATTCAGATTCATCTTTATTTTTTAATTCCTGCGTTAATTTATCCATTTCTGTGCATGTCCATATCTTTTTGATTATCTCTGTTTCATCTGGAATTTCCATTTTTGAGCATAGACTAGTCTTGCAGCCGTAATCACATAGGTATATTACATCTTTATTATATCTATATTAATTCCCAATTAGAAGAATTCTGGTTTATATTCGATTTTGATTTCACACACTTCCTCTAACCAGCTCTGAATTTTATGCCAAAAATTTTGGGCTTTCCTACAAGTCCACCATACACGATAGTACGATCCATTTTCCTGGGAGCATTTCCAACAAATAGGGGATAAATTTGCATACATTTTAGCTAATTTTGTTGGAGGAATGTGCCATTTGTAAAACATTTTGTATAAATTTTCTTTATACAATGTGGCCAATGTTATTTTTTTATTTATTTCCATAGAATTGGCCATTTGTCCAAATTAATACCATGACCAATATCTTTCATCCATGCCAACATTGTTTCTTTTACTTTTTCTTCCTCTAATTTACATTCCAATAATACTCTATAAATTTTCCTTATCAATTTATCATCTGTTTCCAATAATATTTCATCTAGTTGTGTTTTTTGTCTACTAATTCCCTGTTGTTTCATATCTTTCCTGTATCTCAAGTGGACTTATAGGTAAGCTCACCATTCCAAATCCACTCCTTGTTCTTTCAATTCTTGCCTTGATCTCAGTTCTCCTGACTCGTTTAAGATATCTCCGTAAGTAATTATTTTCCCTTGATGGAGCAAATGTGAGTACATCAGGGCTTCCAATGTAGATAGCCATATTAGTGTTTCTACATTTATTTGTTGTTTGGTTTTATTCCATGCCTATAACAATGCCTGCCTAATCTTATGTCTTTGAAAGTATCGGTGAGCCTCTTGTCTATCTTGCCATAAAAAAACATGCCATCCTGCTTGTAGATTGTGGCCTTCTAAAGCTAACATTTTCTATTATCAAGAGTGATCCAATCCTTTATCCATGTGAGTGTTGCAGCCTGATAATAAATTTCCCAATCAGAGTGGAATTGAAATTTGAAACCCGGTCCCCAAAGCCAGCCTCTAATATTCTAACAATCATCTCAACTAGACGTTGATCTGATTCTTTAAAAATATATACAAAGGTTTTCTTAATATAGCATTCTGTGTAGAGCAATCTTGAAGCCAAGATTGCTCTACAATTAGGCTGTTATACTTTGGTCATGTCATGAGAACTGACTCACTTCAATCAGGCTGGGAGTGATCAGCAGAAAAAAGAGAAGAAGCCATCCTAGTCTCCACTGGCTGGACCCTAGAAAGGATGACACCAGCATGACCAGGGCAGATTTGAAGGAGGCGGTGTAAGACGGAGGGACATGGAGAGAGCTGATCCATATGTGGTCAAGGGTCAGACATGACAGAATAGGTGACAAAGATGACATAGAGCAGTGGTTAAGAGGTTGGACTGAGACCAGGAAGTCAAATTCAAGTTTCTTGACCATGACTTCATGGGACCAGTCACTGGCTTCATATGAACTACTTCAGAGAGATTATTCTTGGGAACATAAATGAGAGAAACTCCAGTGACACCATCTTGAGTTTTCAAGAGAAAAGACAGCACATACACGTGATAAAAAAATACTGACTTTTTTTTAAAAATAACACCATGGCTATGACTCTTTCATGAGGCTTTGTGAGAAGTGCTCTGACTATATCACCACTGAATTCTAATCAAGTGCTTGATACAAATGAATTGCAAGCAGACATGGAAAAAATTCTCTTGGGGTGGGTTTATTGCAAACTTTCTCTGGCTGATATGTCCAGTTCTGCAATGGTTTTGTTTTAGTTCCCTCTTAAACCTCTGTATGCAAAGAGGATAGTGTGGTAAATGTGTCGTGCACGTTGTGTCACTTTATTATACTGTTCCTGGTTTTGTTTAGGTAAATATGGAACTGGGGCAATTGTGCAATCTGTATTTTTATAATGTTTGTCTTTAGTTGCATTGTATCCCTTCTCTAACACACTGGTCTTCAGGGGTGGCTAAGCTAATAAGCCATGATGGCTTTCAGTGATAATGGAGAGAAATGCAGGGCAACTAAGCCACGAGTTGTTGACTCCAAGTCTTAGGGAATAGACTACTTCTGCCAGAAACATATTAAACATTTAAAAATGGTCCTTCAAAATAATGCATGTTTGAGTTCAATATGCATCTTCCTTGAGGAGAATGTAAAAGCCATTGCCATACATCTTTTTTCTCTAAGACATATATATCCACTTCCAAACCACAAAGTAATGAATATGCTTTGGGCTAGCTTGTTTAGGTAACTCAGTATGCATGATTAGCTATGATTC